TAAAGCCGAGTTCGATGAGACCGACTTCTATGGTAATCAATCGAATTTGCACGCGAGCGCCCCTCCCTTCGGGCCTCAGATCAATACGGCTCCATCTACCCACCACGTTCCTAGCTCGGTTGTTCAAATGGGATTGCCATTCCAAGTGCCTGCGGTTCCTGCCTTCAATTATGGAATGCAGGGCTATGTCGGCCAAGCAACCCCGATCAACGGTCATATGCAAAACTTCGGAGGAGCTTCCGCCTACAACAATGCCTACCCCAGCTATGGTCCTGGGTTCCGCTTTAATGAACCTGCAGCCCGAGGCACCATGGCTCAGCGTCGCCAAGAGAATGATGCGACCCAGCTCACTCGTTTCGGCAATTACCCTTTGGAGCATTACAAGGGTGAGTTGTACAGCCTCTGCAAGGACCAGCATGGTTGCCGATACTTGCAGCGCAAGTTGGAGGAACGTAACCCGGAGCACGTGGAGCTGATTTTCAGTGAGACTTACATGCATGTCATTGAGCTCATGACCGGTATGAAACATTTACCCCTTGCACCCTAACCCCATTGTCGTTACTGACTTTCATCCTCGAACAGATCCATTTGGCAATTATCTTTGCCAGAAATTGCTCGAATACTCCAATGACGAACAACGCACTGCTTTGATTGACAATGCTGCCCCTGAGTTGGTTAAAATTGCCCTGAATCAGCATGGTACTCGTGCACTGCAGAAGATGATTGAATTTATCTCGACCCCGCAGCAGACTCAGACAGTTATCAATGCATTGCAGTATCATGTCGTTGATCTGGTGCAGGATCTGAATGGTAACCACGTTATTCAGAAATGCCTCAACCGCCTCACTCCCGAGGATGCCGAGTTCATTTACGAAGCTGTCGGAGGCAATTGTGTAGTTGTCGGTACTCATCGCCATGGATGTTGTGTTCTTCAGCGTTGCATTGATCATGCTTCGGGGCATCAAAAGGCTCGTCTGATTTCGCAGATTACCTCGCACTCGTTCGCTTTGGTCCAGGATCCCTTCGGAAATTATGTTGTGCAATACATTCTGGACCTTGCGGAGCCTAGCTTCACCAACCCGTTGTGTGCTACCTTTGGAGGCAACATCCCTCAGCTGTCCAAGCAAAAGTTCAGCTCCAATGTGATCGAGAAATGCCTCCGGACTGCTGATAACTACATGAAGCGCGAGATGATTGATGAATTCTTAATGGGCAATGAGCTCGAAAAGATGCTGCGTGATTCATTTGCGAACTATGTTGTCCAGACTGCCATGGACTTCTGTGACCTCGACACCCGCAACCGCATTGTGGAGGCTGTTCGTCCTATTCTCCCATCCATCCGTCAAACTCCTCATGGTCGTCGTATTGCTGGCAAGATTATGGCTGCGGATACCAACAGCCGCAGCAATGGTAGCAGTGCTACTACCAGCGGCCAGGTCACCCCCAATGAGTTGAGCAGCAGCACACAGATCCCCAAGGCCTTGCTGCAGAAGCCCTTCGCATACCACCAAGGTGGTACCCAGAGTACTCAGTCTTCGAGCTCATCCGGCGGATACAGCAGCCAGACCTACGTACCTCAATCCTCCCAGAGCTCTGTCTCTAACACTCCTTCTGGACAAAGTGACACCTCGTCTGTTTACACTGCGCCCACTCCTCAGCTGTCCGCAAAGTCTGGACCGCAGCAAGTCCAGAACTACTTCTGATTGGGTCTGGGATACCCACATCAGTGCTTGTCTTTCACAACCCCAGTGTACCCATAGTGAGACGATGCGACGAAACATTTCTTTTTTTTTTTCTCTTCACGATTTTACGGTTACTTTTTACACTGTCATCGAACTGGGCCTACATCAACTGCACATGCCATGATCATTTATCCCATGATTTACCACACTTGCGTTTTACTGCATACACCTTTGAAGCAATGTGCCATGATCATTGCATTTGGCCATGTTGCATACTGCATTTTCATGAAGCGACCCGTGCATGATGCAGAGCTCGTTGGAACTATGTTCCTCTGCTCCCTGTGTTTCGCAACATCTTGTATTTCTTGTTTTCCCATTCCCCCTATTTTCCCCAATTGCCTTTCATACCTAGGTCTTGAGGATATCTGGCAATAGTTGGATCGTTCCTCGGACCAATCTGGTACTCCATTGCCTTAATTTGAGGACTGGTTCGTTTGGCTTGGGTTGTCTTTCTTTCTTTTTTTCCTTTTTCGCTTCCACATTGTGATTTTCAACTCTTATTTTTTACCCATTCATCGTTGTACTTTTGCGCTTTGCTCTTTTCGAACTGCGTTTTGTGTCGTGCCCATCCTTCACATTGGTTCATTGTCGCATACAAGCTGAGCCGAGCATGGATATTACAATGAGTCTGGAGCCTTTGTTCATTGATGACCTTGGTTGTTTTCCGGCCAGCTTATTGCTTCTTCAGATTGATGATAGGTGCCATTTGGTCCTCGGACCAGATATTCGTCATGCATGATCCTGCACACAGTTTTTGCATGTATTTTAGCAACGGAAAGCTGAAATAAGTTTTCATACAATTTTCTCAATTTCCAACTCTAGTAGATTTCTATTTCTTTATCTTCGTAGTTCATTTAAGTTTCCGAGGTTGTCAACTCTGCAGCGCGACGCGTGATCACGTGCGTACCAAAGGAGCTGCCCTTCGGAGCTTTAGCAGGATACCACAACTTGCTTTTGACACCAAGTCAGCCTACAAGGTCCGAAACAACGACTGGGCCTCTCATGCTACCAAAAGAGGTTGCCAGCTCATTGAGCACACAATGGCCTTGTCGCAATGTCCAGATGCGGCAGCTAGCCAGTCTTTTGAATGTGAGTGTACTATGCATTCCTTACATTCGCCAATCACCCTCGGAGAAAGTGACTGACTCTCAATATTGGAATAGCCTCACGTTCCTAGCCCTCCAACCTTGGTTGTCCATGGTATTTCTGCGACCTGCAAATCGACTATCCTCCGGGCCGTCCTCGCTACCCTCGAAGTGCCACACGCCATTGTCAGAAGCTCGGAATGTATTACGGGACGGCATCTCCTGACGAAAATACTATGGAATACACTGGAGGCACTGGGCCAGAAGGAAGAATGGGAGACCTCCGGCAAGGGAAGATGCGAGCACGTCAGTGGCCTTGCAGTCTTACTTGAGGAGTGCCTGGCAGCGAGGCCCGTTCAAACCCTAGGCAAATTCGTGCTGGTGCTGGATGAGATTGACAGGCAAAGAGAGGCACCGCATACTTTGCTCTCAGCGCTGGCGCGGCTAGGCGATATCGTGAGTCGCCGCTTTGGACGACTTTTGCAAGTGTAAAATGTTGCTAACCCGATGGTTTGTAGATTCCATCTCTATGTGTTGTTCTGGTCCTCAGCTCGACCCCACGGCCATTATTCCTCCAAAGCGCGGCTGTTCCACACGTCAGCTTCCCTCCCTATACCCGCAAGGAGGCTATCCACATTATTCTCAGTTCGGATGCGCCGGTCGTGGATGGGTTGCCCGATGAAACCTCCTCTCGGGTATACCCGTACTTTGTATCTACAGTCTACGACTCATTGGTGGGACCAACAGCAGGCTCTATACCGGATTTCCGGTCCATATGTGAAAGACTGTGGCCTCGGTTTGTTGCGCCTGTAGTGAATGGCGAAACACCCCCGGGCGGGAACAGTGAGTGGGATTTCTCGCGGCTGCTTGTCAAAAACAGAGTCATCTTTCGACACCAGGGCGAGTCTGCGCTGGTGCACCACATTGTTCCCGATGAGGCTCCTGCTGGCGAGAAACGGACCACGCTGGCAAAAACCGCTATGCCTTCGGCTCTCCCTTCTCTGCCATATTTCTCGACCTTGATCCTCACATCCGCATATCTGGCGTCGCACACGCCTCAACGACTAGATACAATCTTCTTCTCTAAATTCTCCTCTTCATCCCTTTCAGCCCGGAACAAGCGTGCCCACCACCGTCGACGTTTGAAAGTCCTCTCCCAAGCCCAGGCCGAAGAGAGACAAGCCGCAAACGATGACCCTTCAACACCCAACAAGAAAGGAAAGCGAACCAAAACTCGCATCACAAAATCAACACTATCCTCCGCCTTTGCGACCTCCTCGGCCACCACATCAGCTGTCGGAGGTGGCGCAGGCATCGCCGGCCCGTCCACCATCCTTACAGCCCGTTCTTTCCCCCTAGAACGTCTCCTGGCCATCTACCATGCGATCGACCCGAACCCCCCAGCAACACCACTTCGAGTTTCAGCCGTTGCAGACCGTATCTACGCCGAACTGGCAACCCTGCGACGCCTGCGGCTCGTTGTCCCCGCTGCTAGCCACAATGCCATGGCGACTAGTAGTGGGAATACCACTGCCGATGCGGGAGATAAGTGGTGTGTCAACGTCTCTGGCGACTGGGTCGGTGAGTTGGCTAAGGGTATTGGTGTCGAGGTTGGTGAGTGGTTGGCTGGCGGTCTGGACTGATTCGTTTTTTCTTTGGGATGAAGGAGTTGGTCTTTGTACTGGTGCTTTGTTCTTGCATTTATCAACGGGAGTTCTTGGCTTTTTGGCCCTGCATTGCATACTGGTTTTACTTGTGGTTAGGTCAATTATACCCATGTCATCGTTCTACTTGATCATTGCCTATCCGTATGCCAATAAATTGCTTGATTATCTTGTATTTGTGGAGTTGCGTGTTGCTGCAAGGCCATGTCCATCGAGTTCTCCCTCGAATGGCTAATTCCTACGGTGTGCGCAGGGGTATAGACTCGCAAGATATCTTGGAGATTCGACGTCGCTAATCCTCCAGTGTACCTACCATAATAATGCATGCTCGCATGCAGAAAATAATCATCACACAGCACAAATCCAATATCTGCATTCGAACTCCAACAACGCAGAATAACAAAGTAGCTGAAAACCCAATCGCCAAGAAACGCCAAAGACTATGCGTAAGGTAAAATCCTTATAGCAGAGAAAATGGATGACCAAAGAAACAACCAGCGCCATACTACCTACCAGGTCCATTGCTCGACCACATCATCCGTGCCAACCAACAAACTCGGTCCATGCGGGCCCCGCCACTCCGGCGTATCATTCCCATACTCGAATCGTACACAGCTAGGTGGTGAAGAATATTGATGCCCTGTGAGAGGGGAGGACACCTGCATTCCGGTTTGGAGAGAGAAGAGCTGGATTTTGCAGTCCTGGGATGCTAAAGTGAGGTGTATGTTAGCATCGGACGAACTAAAATTGGGATACTCTGATGATCGAGGGGAGCTTACGACTAGCCAGGAGACCGAGCTCGGTGCTCAGATCGAAGGTTGGGAACGGTAGTGAAGAGGATTCGGGGAAAGTTAGGTAGGGCTTTGAGAAATCATGACGTTCAAGCATTTTTGGCGCGAAGCGGAGGTCGTACATTCGTAGCTGAGGTGAATGTCAGTTAAAACCAGCCCGGACGTCGTATCGGATAGAAAAGAGAAGAAGAAGGCGTAGACAGCGTCACATACCGAGCTAGGTCCCGCCGCCACGAGCCGGTACTCGTCCATCTGCTTCATTTCCATCACAGCATCGTTGTGTCGGAGACGTGTGGCACTGCCACCACTGCGCATGTCGTGGAGGAAGATGTTGGAGTTTTTCTGTCCCGCCGCAATCACGTCCTGCGACATCCATTCCACGGCATGCACGCTGCGTTGGCTGCTGTACTTGGGGGGTGCTCTGGTGCGTGTTGGAAGTATATTGCCCTTAAATGGCTTCTTCGATAGGGTCCAATGGCTACTGGTACCCTCTAGGGTGTGTAGCCCTTCTGAAGTTCCTATGGCGAAGTAGGCGCTTGACCCTGCGGGCTGGGCCGCGGAGCACCAGAAGGACATCGGGTAATGGGGTCTGATCCGAATCGGGTGAGAGACTGCAAGGTCTTGGGTAAGCGCGGTGTCTAGGGATAGAGATACATATGGAGTCGTACATGTTGGCCAGCGGTAGTTGCCACCTTCGTCGGGCTCTGGGAGGAGATGAGCCGAAAGGAAGCAGTCACCTTGCGGTCCTTCGTTCATTGTTGCACTGGAGTTGTTAGCAGTGAGTATATCGAACGGCCTCGTATGGAGACGTACAGTAGGTATCCTGAGTGGCTCAAAGACATCGATCCTAACTAGAATGGGGTGTTAAATGTGCCTTCAGTGGAACGAAGTGCTGGGGTCGATTGTGCTCACCGAATACGGCTCCCTGAATAGCACCCGTTCCATGGTGTGATCATAGCTCCACTGTGACTCGTCGATATCAGGAAAACAGACCCTACTCTCTGGTTAGTAGTAATTGACATTCGACAGCGATAAACTCATCAACTTACGACACAGACGATTCATATCCGCGAGCCGAGCCTTGTCGCGCGTGTTAGTCACGTTTCGAGATCATAAAAGCCAGTGAAACTCACCGGCAATCAATGTCCCAGAACGTGGGTTGCGCAAGACATATCGGATACTGTACGAGCTAGGCCATGGCTCGAAACGATGGAGTTCTCCACGGTGTAGTTGGCTGGCCTGAATGCGAGCCTGCTGTTCTTGTCTCGCACGGGAGAAAGATTCAATGGCTCCAATCTCTCTTTGGAGATTGACCAAGGGATGTCTCAACGATGGCGCTTTTCGGATCATCTCTTTATTCTCACGTTGTCTGAACCGTGTTTTGTTTTCATGTGTCTGCGATTGATTAGCGAATCTGATGAAATACATAGATCCCTGCTACTGACCGCTAGCTCAGACCGCTTTCGCTTCACGGACTGCTGCGAGTATTGTGCATTTGGGGGTGCAACATGGTTGGCTTGGATCTTGAAGTACTTCTTCTTCTCCGGGTCTGTGATACTCGGTCAGTGTGTGTAGAAGGGTGGTTGATCACTGCGCGTATAAAACAGTGGCATGGCTAGACAGTTCGATACAGCCCGTATGTGTCGCTGGAAGTCAACAGCCCGTGCCTTTACGTACTGTCCTCGCGCACCTCGGCAGAAGGGAAGAAGCGCAGCAAAACACGACTTACCATAATAGAAACCAGGTATTTCACGAGTCATAGTTGCTGATAATGTGCGATGTCGAGAAGGTAAATATCAGGGAATGCACGAAGAGGGAAAGTGACCCAGCTATGTTCAAGTTATCAAGATAGTCATGAGCCTTCCACTTTCGAGTGTCTAGCACAAACGAACAACCATAGTGGATTCGACCCCAACAAAGCTAAGCATGAATATAAACAAGCACAAGTCTATTTGATTAACCATATGAGATGTGGAAGATCTTGAATCGATTTACATGAACAGGCAGTTATATCAGACTTGAATTTGAAGACCCGTGAGTGACGTGAGATTATGTAATACATCAGATTTGTGCCTCAGGCCACCGTTCTGATAGCTGCCCTAAACGGCAGTACTCTTGAACTGAACTGAAACATCTTTTGTTATTGTTTTTGTTTTTGCTTCTGCTTTTGTTGTGCTTTCATTTTGAATTTGCCCTAATTTGTCTAACAAGATTCACTTTGAATAACTCCAATTTCGGATTTCCCACATTTAATACACACATGCCAATCAATTGAATGGTCGCGCTTTCCAATTGAATCGGATATTGCGAAGAGTCAATACATTCACCACCCGAATTGCACTCAATACCATTGACTGAATGTCAACTGAGAGCAACACAATATAATTGAATATTTGAAGACACCTTGTTATTTTTGCTTATCTTTGTCCCGGTGAGGCTTGACAGGCAAGGCGAAGTTGGTAATGACTCCCAAAGTTTCACTAGCCGAACAATTGGTGTCATCGTGAATATAATTTCTGTCACTTCTTGGACAGATTCCTTTCCAGGACCAGGGTGCCGCATGATTCATTGTCACGCCGTAGCCTGCCACTCATTCTCAGGTTCCGATAAGCCAGTATACCTTCTTCAAGCGTATGGCCGGTCAGTATCCTGAATCTCACTGCCGTAGTTTCGAAGAATTTCTATAGATAGAATGAAGAGGCAATTTCTGACAGTATTCGCTCATTCTCTATAGGCCGATAATGACGCTGCATGTCGGAAAAAGCCCTGGCAGGCGGAGGCAGGCGTTTGTAATGGGCCATGTGTCCTCGATAGTAGTTGGCGCCTAGTCATCGAGGGTCGTTCCTTCGATATAAAACCCACGATGCCGAGGCTCGGCGTTTCCAATATTTTCTCCTGCAACACTTGCAACCCTTTTTCTTTCTCCTTCACCTTTTATAACCATATCTCTTGAAGCCATAGCATCAACCCCTTCTTCTAGGTATGTATCTTCCTGGATTATTGTTCTTTCATCCGTTGAGAGCTGGGCGTGCTTATCTGAAGAGCAACATCCTCCCCCCTGTGACTTCCCGTTCATGTTTCATGCAATTTGCTGTATCAGAGTCAATGATGTATCAGACCAAACCTCTTGCACAAACCTGTGAATTGGATTTGTCTGTTTTTGTTTGATAGTTTGCTGATTCCTTTCAGATCTTACTACCGTTTCGCCATCATGGCCAGACCCAAGGTTGACCCGATGGATCAGCGGAACGCACCTCTCAGGAGTCATCCGCCCGGACCTCCCTTTCCTGAAGTCAGGGACGAGCATGGTTCTCGTATTGTTTTTATTCCGCCGTGTGGAACTTTCTCTGAGAGCGACCAACGGGGCCGTTCCCAGGAACAGAACCAGGAGCATAACCGATCTCCCAGTCCTTTCAAGCGACGAGACCATTCTGAACTGCCTCCCATTCAGACCAGTCTCCTGGCAGGGGTGGTTTCAGATTCCTCGACTCGCCCTTCAGGTAATTCGAACTCAGGCCCTAGCGGAGAGCGGCCTTTCCTGTCCAAGCTCCTCGACAAATCTCCATTCCATCCGAACAAGACCACCACTTCCGGAGAGGAAAATAAAGGCCATATTCAGTCGAAGCACGATGGTTCCCAAGAATCCAAGGATGAAGAGGAATATTACAAGTTTCGTGCCAGCTTGAGCAACAGCTTGGAGGACACTTCTCCTATTGAACAGCAAGATGAAAGTGGACAGAGCGACAGCTTGCTATCCGAGAAGAAAGATCAAGTTAGACTGTTTCGTTCCAGTCTACTTGCTGGTGCCAAGGCCCAGGAAGATCGACGCCGTTCCAAGCGCACTCCGACATCCCCTGACCATCCTCAAATTGGTCCTAATGCGGTTTCCGAATCTGAAACGCATGCTTCCATCGTTAGCGAGAGCAAAGACTGCGTCATTGGCTTTAAAGAGAACGACGACTTTTCTCTCCCGGAGACATTGAAACCTATGACCTCTTTCCAGGAAGAGAGCGAAGAATCTCTGGATTGCCTCATTGATGAACTGGAGGCCGAAGATGGCAATGAACCTGACGATGATGCAACCACTCTCCGAGCTGGGGAAATTCGCCCATTCCCTCCTTCTCTGCTGGAAACCAAGGTCGACGAGGGTCTCAACGACGCAGAGGTGACCGTTCGGCGCAAGAAGTATGGCTGGAATCGCATGAAGGAGCAGAAACGGAACCATTTCCTCAAATTCATCTCCTTCTTCAATGGCCCAGTCCAGTGGGTCATGGAGGTAAGCAAGATCATCATTGATCATTGACCACTATAGCGTGTTTGGAAAAAATATATGCTCACACTGTTTTCTCAATTCCAGGTTACCATTCTTCTAGCTGGCGGCCTGCAAGATTGGATAGATTTCGGAATCATCTGTGCCCTGCTCATACTGAATGCCGCGGTCGGATTTGCCCAGGAATACCAAGCGGGGAACATTGTCGAGAGCCTCAAGGTAACTCTTGCCCTGAGATCTCTGGTCGTTCGTAACGGTTGCATCGTGGAGATAAATGCCGAAGACCTCGTTCTTGGTGATATCATTCACGTGGAAGATGTGAGTTCATGAGGGGTGAAATAGGAAAAAAAGACTCAGGCTAATATCCTATTCAGGGCACCATCATTCCGGCAGATGGCAGACTGGTATGCGACAAGGCCTATATTCAGGTTGATCAGTCTGGAATCACGGGGGAGTCTCTCGCTGTGGATAAACACAAAGGTGACCCTGTCTTTTCTTCGTCGGTAGTCAAACGCGGGGCTGGGATCATGGTTGTGACGGCCACTGGTGATCACACCTTTGTCGGAAATGCAGCGGTCCTGGTTAACAAGGCTGGCAATAACGATGGCCACTTTACTCGGGTCCTGCGCGAAATGGCCCGTGTTCTTCTGATTCTGGTGCTTCTCACCCTGCTGGTTGTGTGGATCAGCAGTTATTATCGCTCAAATCCGATTGTCCAGATACTTGAGTTCACGGTCGCAATCACCGTGATCGGAGTCCCCGTCGGTCTTCCCGTGGTTGTCACCACGACAATGGCCGTTGGTGCGTCTTACCTGGCCAAGCATCAGGCTATCGTGCAAAAGCTCTCAGCTATCGAGTCATTGGCTGGAGTGGAGATCCTCTGTTCAGACAAAACGGGAACACTCACTCGCAACAGATTGAAATTGGGAGTTCCATATGTAACCCCCGGAATGAGTGCGGAAGAGCTTATGCTGACTGCGTGTCTTGCGGCAACTCGAAAAAAGGGCGGCGTCGATGCCATCGACAAGGTATTCCTCAAAGGTCTTCGCCACTACCCGTGGGCCAAATCTCAGATCGCCTCGTACAAGACTCTTGACTTTTCTCCATTTGATCCGGTGTCAAAGAAGGTCACTGCCTATGTGCAAGCTCTGGATGGTGAGAAGGTCCTTTGTGTCAAGGGTGCTCCTATGACCATCCTGAGAACAGTGGAGAAGGAAACCACATTGTGCGAGCCGTTCTTCAAGGAATATGAGGATAAGGTCACCGAGTTTGCTAGTCGAGGATTCCGTGCACTCGGAGTTGCCCGCAAGCGTCAAGGACGGCCATGGGAGATTCTGGGAATCATGCCATGCCTGGATCCCCCACGCCATGACACTGCTAAGACACTTGCCGAAGCTCAAGAACTGGGACTCTCTGTCAAGATGCTCACTGGAGATGCGGTGGCTATTGCACGTGAAACGGCACGTAGACTCGGTCTCGGAACCAACATTTACAATGCCGAACGACTTGGTGTCACTGGCGCCGGCTCCATGTCCGGCTCGGAAGTGAATGACTTTGTTGAGGCCGCTGACGGCTTCGCAGAAGTCTACCCCCAGCACAAGTACAGCGTGGTTGAGATTCTCCAGCGACGCGGCTATCTGGTGGCGATGACTGGCGATGGTGTGAACGATGCTGCTTCGTTGAAAAAGGCGGACACGGGAATTGCGGTGGAGGGCGCGTCGGATGCGGCCCGCTCCGCTGCTGACATTGTCTTCTTGGCACCCGGTCTGTCCGCAATCATCGAGGCGATCAAGATCGCTCGGCAGATCTTCCACCGCATGTACTCATATGTGGTGTTCCGGATCGCCCTGTCCATTCACTTGGAGATCTTCCTCGGACTCTGGATGGTGATCAAGAATGAGACCCTCGACCTCCGCCTGATTGTTCTTCTCGCTATCTTTGCCGACATTGCGACCTTGGCCATTGCATATGACAACGCTACTTATTCGCAGTCCCCTGTCAAATGGAACCAACCAAGGCTCTGGGGAGAGTCAATTGTCCTGGGCTTCATTCTCGCAGTCGGTACCTGGGTGACTCTGGGCACTATTCTGTTGCAAGGCGAGGACGGCGGTGTTATCGAAGGCTGGGGTTCACGAGATGAGGTCTTGTTCCTGGAGATTGCTCTGACTCAGAGCTGGTTGATTATGATAACTCGCATCAGTGGATCTAAATCGAGATCGTTCTGGGCAAACTGCCCATCATTTTACCTTATCGCCGCCGTGGGTGCTGTCGATCTGACCGCAACCTTGATGGCCGCATATGGTGCCTTCGGTCAAGCCACATCCTGGTTGACCATCCTCCGTGTGTGGATTCTTTCCTCTGGTGTGACATGTGTAAATACACTGGCTTACATCTTGATGCATAACTCGCAAAGGTTCGACAACCTTATGCATGGAAAAAGTCCTCGAAAGAAGTACGGAGAGCGCTCGTGGGAAGACTTCGGTAAGTTCG